AAACTGGTACCGCATTGGCTACCCTCTAATCATCGGGTAGTTTTCTCCCCTGAAGCAGTTTAGTGTAGATTTTGTAAAGGCATTTCTTCCATTTCGCTTTAGAACAACGAAATAAAAACGAGAATGTACTCCTAAAGAATGTAAATTCTCACCTCATTCACCTTGTAAGCTGGGTAAAAAGCCTACTCAAGCCTTTTTTTTTAATACCGTTGTTTAATAGTTTCAAAGACATGAAAAAGTTCTTAATGAAAAACAAACAAAGAAGTATTGGGACTTTACGGTGCGAAGGAACTAAGACTAAGAAAAACACCCCTCATAGTCCATAAGAAAGAAACTACTCAAGGTTTCGAACATTTCATTTTGCGCTCTGAAGCCAGGAAAGGAACTTCATGCGCCACCGAGGCGGAAGCCTACAGCTTGACATTCTGGCTTTAAAACCTGTTTCGCGAGACGAGCGCTCGCTCGAGAAAGGCAGGTCTCGTGGAGCGCAGGCTATAGCTTGCGCCTAATGACGTCAACTTCAAAACTTGAATCCCCGTAATTTGTTAACTTCATGTGCATCCTTCCATAAAGCGAAAAAAGTCAAACAAAACTTCCGGTGTCAGAATAATAGAGTTTTACCATAAGATTACCGTAAGTTATGGCGGGCACGGCAACGCCCCTAGCGCGCTTACGAGCAGGCTTTGGAGTGACTGCAACATAAATCTATTGCAGAATACGGCAGCCACACGTGAATTTCAGGTACTTATTGAATCCTTCTCCTGTAGGAATGTTATATCTGAGCCCACGCGAATTAGCTGTCACTCTGAAAGCCTTCTGGACTTGTTTTTGACAAATAACATGAATGACGATGTAACGTCGGGTAGGGTTATAACATGTCTAAGTGATCATTTTCCAATTTACATGTCTTTTAAAGATAGTGAATTTTTCAAGGGAAAGGCACGACATACTGAGTCGTATATAATGCGAGAAATTAATGCCAAAACTTTGGAAATGTTTCGAGGTGAAATCACAAACATAGACTGGAGTATAGTGCTTGAATCTACAAATGCTGAGGAAGCTTATGAACATTTCATAGCCATCATTAAGCAGGTTTATTATACTTGCTTTAAACTAAAGGAAGTAAGGAAATCTAAAAAATTACGGAAGCCTTGGATGTCAGATGATTGCTTTAGAATGGTCAAGAAAAGAGATGTTTTATATTCGAAATTTGTCAAAACAAGAAACTTGAATGATCTTTCCAAATTCAAAAAATATAGAAATTTTGTGACGAAAGTTTTGCGTAGCGCTAAAAAGGCATATTACGAGAATGTATTCTCAAGTACTCAGAGTGAGGTGGTGTGGCGCGAAATCAACAAACTTTTAAACTGTGGTTCTCACCATAATGAAGAACTACGCTTAACAGTAAATAATAAAACAGTAGTGGGCAATGAGCTTGCAGATGCGTTTAACAAATATTTTACGAACTTAGTCTCAGTGGTGTCTGGAACTGATAGCAGTGGAGTAAAACGATTTCTAGGAACGCCTAACTCAAATACGGCATTTTTTGCGCCGACAACCTGTGAGGAAATCTGCTCTACTTTTATGACACTCAAAAATAGCAAGGCCCGTGACATTGATGATTTAGAAATTAAACCTATAAAGTTTGTATTAGACATCTTAGCGCCTGTGCTTTGTTATATTTTCAACACTTGTTTACTCACGGGGACTTTTCCAGAAAGCATGCAGCGCGCTAGAGTGAGTGTCTTGTTTAAATCTGGCGATAAAAATGACTTTTCGAATTATCGTCCGGTTTCAGTACTGCCTGTTATTTCGAAGGGTTTAGAAAAGATTATATGCAAAAGAGTCTCTTCCTTCTGCGACAAGCACTCAATACTTACGGAGCGGCAATTCGGTTTCCGTCGAGGCATGTCGACTGAATTAGCTTTACTGACACAAAAAGAATTCATACTAAACGGATTTGAGAACAATAAATTGACATTAGGTATTTTTATTGATTTCTCAAAAGCATTTGATAGAGTTAATCACGTAATACTATCCACTAAACTAGATCATTACGGTTTCCGAGGAATCCCTGGCGACCTTCTAAAATCATACTTAACCCATAGAAAACAATGTGTTGTAATTAACGAAAAACGCTCTCCTCTTCTAAGTGTCCATTCGGGAGTCCCACAAGGAAGTGTATTGGGACCAGTGTTGTTTAATATTTACATCAACGATATAATAAATTCCATTGAGTGCACAAATTGCTTAATTTACGCAGATGATACCAGTCTTTTTTTCCAGTCAAATAACATTAATGATCTCGTTAGTTTGGCAAATGTTACTCTGAATAAACTGCTTGAGTGGACAAGGGTAAACGTCTTAGAAATTAATGTTTCAAAAACAAAAGCCGTACTATTTGCGCCTGTGCAAAAATTAATAACTCGCGATATTAATATACAGCTTGGATCAGAAATGATAAAAGTTACAAATGAAGTCAAAACACTGGGAATAACTTTTAATCAACATTTAAGCTGGAATGCACACGTGGACCGTGTTGCTGGGACCTTGGCAAAGGCTTGCGGTATACTTTATAGATTCAGACAAATACTAACAACTAAAGTCAAGCTAATGCTCTACAACTCTCTTTTTGCATCCCATATAAACTACTGCAACCTTGTCTGGGGAGTGACGTCGCAAGCTAACAAAACTAAGTTGCATTTATTACAAAAAAAAGCTATTCGTCATATAGTAAATGCCCCATACGATGCCCACACAAAAGAATTATTTGCTTCACTCAATGTGCTTCCCTTCCAGCACTTATACAATTTTAATCTAATAATGAAATATAAACTTAGCATTAAAAATAACAATTCCACTTTTATCAAGTTGTGTAACCTTAAAAGGCCTCATGATGCATCGTATAATATTAGAAAAAAGGATTCCTGGCTGGTACCCTTTTCCCGTACTAATCATGGGTTAGACAGGCTGCAACACCGCATGCCTAGTTGTCTAAACTCTTTAGAGAAAAGGAACCTTGATATACACACCATTTGTAAAAAAACATTGAAAGAACACTTTTTCACACAGTGAATAATTGTGCAAAAATTTTGTTGTATTTGCTTTATATCTTTCCTGTATAGAACTGTCGGAATACATGTTTTAGTGTGCACGATGTCAGTATTAGTTTATATTTGATGTAAATTGATTACATGTATATTTTTCATAGTTTGAATTTCTGTGTATATGTCTTGTCAATTTTAAACTGTCGGTTTGGTTGTTTCTTATGCCAAGGTAGGGGCAGGAACCCCGTCAAGCTACTGTATTGTAGCTTTTTGTTCCTGCCCTGGCATTTTTTGTTCGACAAGGAATGTCAAATAAAGAATTTGAATTTGAATTTGATAACGCGAGCTCTTGGCAGAAAATCCGCTCTAGGTGGTAGTTGCGGTTATGCTGTGCTAAAATACACAATTAGGTAACTCTTTTTTTTTTTTTCTGCGTGCAAATTTGTTAGCGTTCTGCAGCCTGAGCCACATGGAGCGAAGGCTTGCTCCGCTTCGAATCTCGAATGCAGGGGTCACGTATTCAACCTCCATCTCATCCGCCCACCAAATTGCGATCTGGGTGAGCATTCTACCAATGCGCCACCGCGTACTTCATACTGTCACAGCAAAGGCCCTAGGTCAGCACTCACACGGTGCCGGCTGTACCACTCCCTAACGTTGAATCTGCCTCGTCATATCTCAAAAGCGCCCAGGCCTTGCGGTGTATATTAATGTTCGCAGCGTCTTATTTCTTTTTATATTACTCTTTATAGGTGAATTCATTACACGGAGAGGAATGATGTAGATCAATTTGTAGAGCTCCATGTAGATTAAGCGTTTTATTGAATCATCGATGATTAAATAAGATAGGGTTAGTCACGAGAACAAAACTTGATGCCCCATGCATTGTGCACAAAGTAAAGGTGGTTTTCTGGGAAGAAACAAACTCTACAAATTAAGCTGGAAATGTGGAAAAAAAACTGCTGCAAATTCTTTGTATAACCCCTAAGGTTGTGAGCAAGCACTTGCTTGATGTTTGCCTTCGGGTGTTCTAGACCCTTCACACGAATGAGGCTGGAAGTCAAGAGCTTTGGAAATAAAGATGCCAGGCAGGCGCAGACGTCAAAACTTTTGTTTTCTTAGCTGTCAGTTTTTGTTGCAGGTCAACCGAGTCAGCCGGACCAAAGATTTCCTTATGATGCTTCTTCGTTCGTTACCAGAGTAAAACGATCCGAATCAGGAAGTCAGAAGAACCACTCTTTATTGCGCTCGAGCGTACACAGAGATAGGCAGTCTAGAAAAATAAAACAAAACCACGCTCGGGGAAACAAGGGGGCACACGAAGGACGCAATGACAAGGTGGAAGAAGACACGCGGGTAATACTTGTTCTACCGACACAGGCACGCGGACGTTAGATACGTGTTTGCAGGTGAAACAAGGAAAAGAAAAATAGCAAACCAAACCAGAACGAGGCGCACCAGATGAAAGAAGAACACAAACCCGCAATAGGGACGAGCGCGAACGGATATTTAAGTGATTTGCTTCCGTTGTTTAACTTCGTCAAGGAAGGAACAGCTGCTTCGCCCGAAGTAGCGGTCTTCGCGCTGACGTTTAAACGGAAAAACACAAGCAGTCACACAGACAAACAACAATAAAAACCGACAGAACAGAGATAGGGACGAATAGCACTGGAATCTTAAGAAGAAAAAAAGAAGACCAAAGCACGAGCACGGTGTAGAATGACAGGGCAGAAGACGAGCAAAAGAGGGATAGGACATCTTACAGTAATAGAGGAGATTGGAGTTCGGCAGGACATAGGAAGAAAACTTTACACAGCGCACACGTCCTCAATGTGGCAGACCACCGGTGACATCTTCGATCCGATGGCAATCGTATATACGCGTGTATAGTACGACTTCACACAGGTGTCATGGTCGGAAGCACGGAAGGCGTCGTAGGGTCTAGCGACTCATCTAGCCCCTGAAACCTCCGGGCGCTGGTCCGCCGCGGACGCGGTTGGGCTCGTTGGCGATGGCGGCCTCGGGTCCTGGCAGAGCGCTGGACTGGAAGACGACGTCGGCGGGGTTCTTGGACTCGGTGCCCTGCTCGTTGGTGTCCACCTGGGCGCGGAAGCCGTTCTCGTCGGCGGTGTACGTGACGGTCCTAGTGCGGCCGTCGGAGGTGGTCAGGGTGTACTTGCCGGAGACGCGGCCGTTGCCGTCTCCCTGCTCCTCGTGCGAATGGCTGCCGTCCTCAAGTTGGGACAGGTAGTTGAAGGCGTACGGAATCGGGGCGTACACTTCGCCACCGGCCCCACCGAACCCTCGCTGGGCGACCTGGAACCCGTGAACCACAAGGAGTGGGGAAGATCGGTTAAGCGCATGCTCTGTGTTTTTCATCAATTGAGAATTATTGGGCCATTCGTCGGTGACCAGTCTGGCACGATATGGCTTCTATGGTCATCACGGAAATCCGTGATGTGCCGCTGAATGACTGGGTTCTTGCCAAAAAGTGTATCTTAATACTTAAGTAATGCCTCTACATGATTTGGTCTTTATAACTGTTTACAACGTTCTGTTCAGTATGCCCCGAGAATTTTACCATGCCCAACTTCAGATGCAGAATAGAATATACCTAACAAAATATGTCGAATAAATATTTTTTTTTTTAAGAATCCCTTTCCTACGTTGAAAATCCCTTATTCTTCTGCTGAACCTATACCTTAAGGCAAACAGGAATGCCGCTATGTCAAGCACGGCAGCAACACAGCAACGCAACCTTCTTTGGCACTAGGTAAGCGCTTAAATACCACTGCTTTCATTTCTCGGCACTTCAGAGCGAAAAAAACAAAATTTAGCTCCTGAGGTTTTAGTCCTACATAAATTGCAGGAACATTCGCACTGCTGTGAAATCACCGTCTCAATGCAAACGTGAGACCACGTCGACAATTTTGTTTTTCTTTCGTATTGAGATGTTATTTTTCTTTAGAGCAAAACAGCGTAGATCAGTGAAATATATTTTGCCGAAGTTAAATCTAGCAGGTACTTACGCGTTCATCAGGACATCATCTTTCTATCAAATAACGTATCAGTAGTGTGTGCATGATGTCACCATTGCCAGAAGTAAGCTACAAGTATACATCCGCAACTGAACCAGTTCCTGACAATTTGTTTACTTTTTAAAAACTTTCTAAAAAATTTCGGCAAGCAGTAATAATCCAGTGTGTCCTGTCCTGTTATCTCTACGTTTCCCAGCCCTCCCCCTATCACCCCCCCCCCCCCCCACAAAAAAAAAAAAAAAAAATTGAAAGGTACTTACGGTAACGCAGACACAAGCCAGAAGAAGTGCGATCTGGAACATTTCGAAAAGAAATTAAACGAAATTAGAAACAGCTCCACCATATTCCAAAATAAAATAAGAATTAAGAGAATGTCTTCAAATACACTTCTAATGCCTCGTGGAAAAAGGGAGGGGGGGGGGGGGGCTAAATAATATTTATCAAAACAGTTCGCGCAATATTTGTATTTACTGAGGGTACCTTACGATGCTTATAATAGAACGCGCAGAGTGCAACTTTATATATTTACAAAAACAGCAATTCTAATAATTTATAAATAACCCTCATTAACTAATTAACGATGACAATCTAAGCCTCCCTCACTAAACTTTTTTTTTCTACGTTTATGTTTGAGTTTTGAAAACTGAATAGCTCCAACGGCAATATTTAGTTTCTGAGGACGCTAATTCGCACCTCTCAAAAATGAGCAACAGTGGTTGGGGATCCCACCGATTATCTCTTAAATCCCGACTCGTAAATGTTGAGCACGTTCCAGTTTTAAGTTTCATCACATATTCAGAGAAAGCTGCAAAAATATTAAACAAAAGTCTAAAAAATAGATTTAGTAAAAAAAAAAAGCTAGCTGGAAGCAAGAGTTTAGACGCAGCTAATTCCTTCATATTCTGGGAGATAACCGAAAATCGTGACGAGGTGGACGCAGGGTCGTAATCCGAGGTTGCGGGGGGGGGGGGGGGGGGGGGGGGTGCAGGTATCCAAACACCGAAGTCATCCATCCCGAGTCGAGCGTTCGAATGGCCGAGTCAGTGCAGCTCGGAGGCGTGTGGCGACGTCGACTTCTCCAACTCACCTTGTACATGTTGAACTGTCGTGCGGTTAGGTTGCTCCTAAGGAGGCAGTTGAAATATAACCAGTGAAAAGATGCTGCGAGCAATGTTGTGGATGCCTCCGGTCGAGTCCGCCTTTATAGCGACTCCACCGGGGGACAGGCCGGGTACCCTCCGACCAATCAGAGACCGCTGTCCTACATTGCGCAATACCGCCGACGACGACGGGAAGAGCCCCGTGCCCACACGACCAAGAACACCCCCCCAATAACAACAGTAACAAACAGCCCCAAAATTTGTATTTTGCTACTGCTGCTAAGGGAACGGCTACGGTGACGGCGACGACGACGTACCTGAAGCCGGCAGCGACGGCGGCGGCGGGGGAGAGGGGGATGAGACGACTTTCGCTTCAGCCCCGTCTTCTCCGGGATGGGAGGATATCCTTCACAGCCACAGCTCAAAAACCCGTTACTCTTGAGTGGGACGGCATCTTCCGCCCAGCTGCCTGCGGATTGAGAGAGCCAGAGAAAGCGGGGAGAGTGGTCTTCATGACGCACGTCTTTCCCTTATTTTTTTAAACTCATTTGAACGGTCCATTTTTTTATATTTTTCTTTTATTTTTTCACACGCTCCTCCTTCGCTTGGTGTAGCGGCCGGCTTGGCTGGCCACATCGGTGAGGTGGCTTCAGCATCCCTCCCCCCACGCACGCTGCGTTGCGGCGCGTCCTTCCAAGCCCCAGACGGTTGGTTTCCCCACGTGGCGTGCCTCGTCCAAGAACGAACGGACGAATGCTCACTTTCCGCACGGATAACGGTCTCGGGCTCACGGCCAGCCGAAAGCAGCGTGGAGCGAGAGATCGTACGGGCGATACGATCGAGGGATCGTCCGAGTGTCTTCGCGAGTCGCCGGCCAAATGGTCACGCTATGTATTTACTGCGCAGGGTTCGGTCTTCTCGTGCCGATGCGCTTACGCCACTCGTCGTGGCTAACGGGCAGATGCGGCAGCTTCGCGTGCTCGATGGGCGATCATGTGTTGCTAGGGCTTGTTTTGCGGAATGTCGTGCCGCCCGACGTTTAGAGCAAAGTCGCGTCGGATGCCAAAAGGAAGAGCCGGCGGCTCGCGGCGAGGCTTTTCTTTGTGGATAAGCTATCGCTGGGCGGGGACGGTTTGTGGGCCAGGAATCGTAGTCTGTAGACTCACTGACAGAAATGCAAGGTGCCGTCATCAAATCACATCACGTGTTCACGATTCTTGCTTTGCCGTTTATGTAATAATACGTGATTCGTTGATTCGTTCTTTGGCTATCTTATCGGCTGAATCCGCACTGTCATTGTAGGATGGAGCAGTAATGAATGCTCGGGACGCAGCACGCCCCCTGAATTTCTCAAGTTGCCGGTGACGATAGTCATTATACGTCACGAGAATTTCTTCTGTGTGTGGATAAAAGGAGGTCAGTAGTTTGTGCTTATTTTCGTGGGAAGTAGATTGACCGCGGTTGGGTCGCGCTGTTTTCCAAGTTGCGTTCTACTAACCGTCGTCAGATCAAAAACAATCAGATGTAGAAATATGGCCCTCCGTAATCAACGCAAGCTCTTTATTTTCCGCCTCGAAATGGCTGATTAGGTGAAAATGCAGACGTTAGATATGTCGTCTGAAATAACCTTTTAGGTTCCTCAAAGCCAAGTGGCAATCATAATTTCATTGTGCCACTTCCTTTTTTTTTAAATCAATCTTGATTTATATATTTTAGGAAAACAAAAACCACGGCTAAAAACCTTGCACTGTCACGATACTTGATGACAATGATTTCTATAAAGCCCACGCGTAAAACCGTGATTTGTGTTGGTAGTTGTATCGACTCTGCTGTAGAACCCCGGTTACGACCAGCATATTTGAGTAAGCAGATCTTAGTTTATATTTAACGGATGTAAAATCTAGCAGACAAGACGTCTTGCGCTTCCAAAGTTCACTAGCGTATTAACATGCCTTTGAATTGTAACTTCAGCGTGATCAAAATATGCAAGTTTAGCGCGAAAGGGAATAGAAAATACCACTAAAAATAGGAGCGAGACGTTCATTCGTTTACTAAATTCTGCACAAAAAAAAAATGTATATACTGTATATATACATATATAGTTATTACATTTTAAAAGAAATATATAGTCAACTTTAGCTGGTTAGCAAGTTGATTTAGTCGCGTCTCTCTCTTTCTCTTTTTCTAACGATTAATTTTCAGCTGATAATGCAGCATAGATTTTATCTCGGCTATGTTTCATGTTCTTTGCTGTTCTTGACCTATTTGTTTGCGAGAGTAGGTCGTATCGGGTAATGTACTCGGGTTCTAGAGGTACCCGAGCACACGTTCGGCGAGAGAACTTCGGACGTTTTTCTGTTTCAGATCACGCTCACAGCTTTCAATCCTGTCGAAATGAAGGAAATGCCTTGCAGGAACGAACTCTTTGCGCTGCCAAGCGCTAGCATTTGGACACTCGAGAGATATTCTGAGGCAAAGATCTCACGGTATTGGCGCCAAGAAGCGCCCCGTGGGGTCCGTCAGCTTTCCTCGCTTTTACATAATGTGAACGCCCTCGTACTTCCGTCGCATCAGTGAGGGTTTGGCCTCTTAAGCCCCTCTGACTTGCTTGCTCACAACTGTCAAAAAAAGTTAAACTATCCTCACTTCGATGCTCCGTCGACAGCGCGCAAGAGACGTCAGTACAGAAGAGATGACAGTACACAATAAACTCAGCGTCACTGCCGTTTTTTTATGGTTTATTATTTCTGCAAGCAAAGTTTAAAGTTCAAAGTGTTTAGCCGAGAGCCTGAGGCAACCGAAATGCAAAACGCCCGTACGACCAAGCAACCGCCTCCTCGGCTGTATTTGAACGGGTGAGAAACATGACGCTGATTGTGTGCATGCCCAGATGCGTCTTTAAGATTAAACACGAAAAGAGTGACAAATCGCGTTTCCAGAGCTCGTATAACCTGTTGTTTTTGTTTTTTCCACCAGCAAGCTGAAGGTTTTCGCTTGTAAACCAGTTAAGATAAAATAGTAAACGAGGTTTGTGACGTAATGAATTAAACCTTTTTCTTTCCATCTAGAAGGAGTATTTCTTATTCCTATCGATGAAGCCATCTGAGGACACGTTGGTGTTGATACGCTTTATTGAGACAAGGATGGTTCGTATGGCCCGGAAGGAAAGGGTTACATGAAAGGGCCAAGACACCTATACTTATAAGAAAAACGAGCTAATAAAAAAAAAATCTGTCCTCTCTGTAACACGCACTTACGAGCAACGTAGGCTACCGGATTGCGACACACGTTCGTCCACAGAAGCAAAAATTGCGTGCGGGCGCAATTCACGTGGATAGAGCGTAGAAAACGTGTTCGCTTTATTGCCTTGATATCGCTGCCGTACACTTGAGCACGACGTAGAGTTTCAGTTGCTAAACAAAAGGTAGCTTCGCGAGAAGAATCGCCGATCCAAACGACCGCGAAGACATTGCTCCATTCCGGCTACGAACAGCACCGCAACCAGTCTGCGCGCCACCGGCACCAATATGGGTCAACGCAAACGCCGTTGGATATCGCGGAGGTCCCCAAGGGTCGCCTCGCTGATGCAGCGGCGTTTTGTCCTACGATGGCTTCGCGAAAATTCGAGATGTCCCGTGGGCTGTCATCATGATTTAAAAGGCATGCAGGCTCGAGCAATTTTTGTTTTTGTTTTTGTTTTTCGGTTTCCAATTACACATAGAATAAAAGCGAACAGAATGTCTTATTCGAGAGGCGGCTGCAGGTAATGGCGCAATGTTTCAGTCGATTTCATCTGAGAGACGCTCAAAACGTTGCGCGTTCGACTGGAATTTTCGGATCATCGCAAAACAATGACACGGTATCAACGAGAAGGGTATACCGGCTGCGACACGGTTAATTTGTGAATGCGAAGAAAAGGCTACATCGAACTCAGTTTGAATGAATGTGCAGGATTGATGTGGTACGCGCTGAAGGATACTATGCGCTACACGTGTTTTCGCAATGAGCGACGCGACTTAAAACAAAACACCATATACACACATATGAACCATATCCCTAAAACATTTAGGAAAGAATCGTATGACAAATTATATACGTGCTTCCTAATCCGAAAGGCACACGTCAATTTGATGTTTGGCCATGGTTTCCTACTATACTTTTCTTGTCAAAAGACACATAAATGGCACTGTTTTCCTTCATTT